GGTATAAGTAGGAGAGATATATTCTGAATGTAAGAAAATGTAATAGGTTTATGCTCATCTGGGATACAACTGAGCTAAAATACTGTAATTGCCCCAGAAGCACTGGGCCTATAAAGTCTGAGCCAAGAAAGACCTTTTATTTCTTATATTACAGAAACATTAGCCCAACACTTTGCACAGTATCACAAATTATGGAATTATATGTTAATGTAGGTTGGATTTCCTCCTCCATCACTATAAATTCAGCTGACAGATAAATAAAACCATTTGTAAAAATGAAATAAAAGTCTTGAGTGAAATATGTCCCTTAAAAGCTATCATTAACAGATTCCATAGCTACTTATCACAGCTTGTCTGACCAAACAGCATTAAGAAAAATGGGTGACAGTTTGTTTTATTTTGAGTTCCTAATTTTTATTTTTATTTTTATTTTAGATTTAAACCAGCTGATTGGTTGTCTGAATGTAATTACTGTTTGTGCTAGTAACATACTTAAAAAAATACACACACCAAAACTTTCCCACACTATTTGTTTTCATTGGCACAATCAAGGCTCTCTTAATAAAGAAATATGTAAGATGGACGTACTTATTTTTGCTCACTTTAGTTAGAGTAAATTTACAGATTAAAAAAATGCAATTATTGCAAAAATTCATATAAATTGAAATAATAAAAAAAAAAACCCACTTCACGAAATGAACTCCCAACTCTATCACAGTATCTAGTGATAAGATTCTTTTTGTTTGCAACAGTTCAGAGAAATTTGCCTAAAATATGACAATTCTGCTAAGCATCCTTCAAGAGGAGAGGAAGGAGATGTGTGAGATGAAGAGGACTGGCCAACTAAAGGCCAGGAAGGAGGGAGACCAGTCCTTTGCATCACTGCTGCTGAGCACACAGGTCACCAGCACTGAAAATTTCAGTTCAGTATTTTTAGGGACACCAAACAGAACAAATAGGTCTGTCTCTGAGAATCAGTTAAATTTTCATAATTTAGTCACGGTATAAAATGATTTATGTACATGATGTTGATAAGCACAGGGAGATGCACTAAGGCATGGTTAGCTAGTAGCATGTCTTTTCCTAGAGGAATGTACTGGACTTGATTTAAAGTGTGTTCATGTAGTTATGTAAATATTTAGGATCATTGTTTCTCAGCTGATACCTAATTGCAAAGGGTAATCTATGTCTTTTCTATCATTTCCTCTTATAATCAATCTACCTGTAATTATCATTCCTGGATTTTGGGCCCTGCTACCACAATCCATGCCATCTACATTGTCCAAAACACAGCTATAGGATCCTCAAAATCACCTGGAAGAATCATAATTGAGAAAAAAATAGTTGCTTAATTGTTATGGAAAATTCCCCTGTGCATGTTGTCATATGCCTTGGTTTTGGTGTCTTTTATTTCTGGGTTAGATTCCATGGTTTGATCAAGGAACTCAAATATCACTGAGCTTCTGAATCTTGGTTAGTCTAAGAGTTTATCTTTCTGTTTGTCACGGGAGATGGTGATCAACTGGATCATCAGAATTGCTTTTTTGTTGCTATTTTCTTTCCCCTTGAGTGAAACTTTGAGTGGATGACAAGTGTTTTGGAGGCCATATAGAAATCTGTTTGTCTAGATGTTCTTCAGAGTCCAAATGTTTGCAAAGACTCAAGTGGCTGTGGGAAAGCCACTTATTAGCTGCTCTGTTCAGCAGCAGAGAGCAGAAGTTGTTTTAAGGCTTTTGTTTGTGACAGTGTATTTTTCTGGTGGTTTGAAAACCCAGGTGGGCACTATTTTAAAGTTGTCAACAATATAAGTACTTGTAATATATAAGCATATTCTTTAAAATGACACACCAGAAGTTGATGATGTGCTACATATTTCACTAGATTAATGAACAGACAGCCCACATATCATGTAACATTACTTCATATAGTGTAATCCACATTTCTGCAACCATGCAAGATACCAAAAAATAAATCATAAAATGTCCTAGAAGATATGAGAAAGTCACCCCATTAGCCTGTGACAGAGACTAGATATTTTTCTGGTAGCTCATCCAGAAAATTAAAGCGGTTGAGACAGAAAATGTTGAAGCCTAAAGAATGTTTGAGTAAATAGTAACCAAGAATTCCTTTCATAACTCACTTTTGTTTACTGGTAAATTCTATCTTCACATTATAAACATAATTAGTAAATATCTGACAATATTTTTTGCAGTGGTTTGGTTTAAACATATTTACCTTTTATATTCACTAAATAAATGTTTAGATTTTGCTGTACCCACAAATGAGAGTGAAGGAAGAGAATTGTATATCAAGGTACTGCATGTCCTGAATTTCTTAATAGAAGGGACAATTACTACCACCTTTATCCTGGTCTCTTGGTTTCTGAGCAAGTTTTAATTTGACACTGCAAAAAAACCTCCCAAAATCCTTTAAACAATGCTGTATTGTCTCTTCAACAAGCATAAACATAAAAAAAAATGTTATCTTTGTCTGCCTATTTGTCAGACAAACAAGAAAAACTTTGAAAAATCCAATTCCTATTTATCCAGCTGGATTGTAGGAGGAAAATCAACATTTTGCATTAATCACAACCCCTAATTTCTATTTCCGTGGTGCAAACTGCAAATCAGTAATACTCTCCTTGCAGAATTGAAGTTCATTCCCTTGCTTTATTTTGTACAAGTTACAAGAAAATGGTATAAGGTGTGGATTGCTACTGTCTTGAGCCTTGTTCAGAGACACTGAAGAGGCATATTCTGTATCCCATCACTTCCTTCTCGGGCCAATATCTCATAGTATTTCACTGTGCATCTACATTTTACCTGTATACTAAGTGTCCATCTGTAAGTTTTCATGTTAAACTGTTAAACAGTGGCATTGAAATGGTCAAAATCAAATTACTGTTTTGTAATTTGCAGAATCTACCACTTCTCTTGATGATGACAATCAGCGAAAAGGACTAGAAAGCTGTTATTGTGGTGAGTACATAGTTCAAATACTTCTATGTATGCTTAGAAGGATAATGCATATTTATACATGCAATATATAAACTGCTAACTGATTCAAACAATATATTTTAAATAGCTTCTGCCATATCTTATGTCACCATTACATTTCAGCTGTAAACAAAGATTGGTACTAGGATATCTTACGTGGTACTTCCTTTCTTCCTGATACTGTATTAGTGGCAGAATACACCATGCATTTATCTTTGGGCAGCGTGGTTTGGCAGCTGCTGTGGGTGGGTGGTCAGATGTTTGCTTATAAAATTGTCCAGCTGAGCTTTTGCAACATCAGTTCAATAATACACTCACTATCAGCACCTGCCTGAAACTAACAAAAAATGAGAACACTTGCAAACTGGGAAATCCAACATTTCTGCCAAAATATTTCTATGTGAGGAGCAGCACAATGCATAAGTATCATTTACTTTCAGTCTAATCAGTTTGCTTTTTTTGTTTGTTTTGTGTATGTTGAAATGGGATAATCCTGGTACAGAGCTACTTGACAGGAGCATATAGAATCTGGGCTTGAACTCTGTGTTGTACTGTGTGTGTCTCCCTCTGCCACCCCCAATTATTTTGGTATTAAAACTTTCTGCCTTTCAGGGGGTGATAGTGGTTTGCTCTTCAGGATTTCTAAATCAACCCAGAAGCATAAATAAAACCTGCAGGGCTTCTCTTCCTTTCCTCGACAAGGATGAGGCAGTCATTTGTTCTGGAGGTGGCTGTAGAGATTTAGGAGTATGTGCGGAAGAGCTCGGTGCCTCGGTGTCTGTGCCATGCCCGTTACTAGAAAGTGCATTATTCACTTTGCAGCAGCCTCTAAGGTAAAGGAACGTCCTTGCTGTTTTTCCTTATAAGGGAAACAGATACTTTCATGGGTTTTTCCACAAGCCATAGATGTAAAATGCTGCACCTCTAGCAGATAGGTATAGAGAGAGATAAGCGCGCATATATATATATATATGCCTTTAGACGGAGGCATAGGCGTCCACTTCCTTCGGTTCCCCCCGGTGCTGCCTTACACACTTGGCTCAGCATTCCGGCTCCCCCAGGCTCTGATGCTTCTGCCGCCGAGTGAGCCGGGGACCCGCGGGGTAACCCGAGCTGGCAGCGCTGCCTCCGCAGCGGAGGGAAGGGAGGGAGGCGGCAGCGCCCCGTCCTCCCGGGCAGGACCGCGCTCTCCCCGCGGCTCCCGGGGCGCCTCCCGGGGCCGAGCATCCCGCCGGCCGCAGGTGACCCGCCGCGGGGCGAGCCGGGGACTGCCGCGGCACCGCCGGGAGCCCCCGGGATAGCGGCTCGGGGGTGGGGGGACATTTTTATTCCCCTCTCTCTCGCGAGAAAGTGTTGGGCGGGCGATACTTGAAGAGGAGAGGGGGGGAGAGAGGAGGGGAAAAAGGAGGAGGAGGAGGAGGAGGAGGGAGGGGGCAGCTGGAGCCGCAGCTGGAGTAGCGGTGGGTGCAGCGGCCGCAGCTGGAACAGCAGCGGGAACGGCAGCCGGCGGCGGCGGCTCCAGCGGGTGCGCGCCCCTCGCAGCGGCTTCTCCCGGGGCGGGCGGGCTGGGCGCGGGTCCTGCCCGCGGCACCGCGGCCGCTGCGGCTCCAGCGCTGCCCGGCGCGGGGACCTGGGAGGGTTCATGCCCGGGGCGCACTTCCAGCCCCGGAGCGGCTTCGGGAGCGGCGGCGGCGGCGGCCGCGGGCGGTGCGGGAGCCCCCGCGGATGCTGCTGGAGGGGCAGCAGAGCCCGCGCGGCCCCGGGCAGCCCCTCGCCATCCCCCGCGGCCGCCGCCTCCCGCGGGCGGGATAGCGCCGGGACCGCTCGGGGGCAGGCGGCGAGGGGCGCGGGGCGGCCGCGGCTCCTTTTCCTCGGTGCCTAACTCCCTCCTTCTCCTCATTCCTCCCCTCGCAGCTCGCCTTGGAGAGGCTGGTCGGAGGCAGGACGACGGGGACCGGCGGACTTCGGCGGCGCAGAGGAGGCGGCGGCCGCTCGCAGCCCGGGGGCTCGGGGGACGCGATGTGGCGGGGGCGGCTGCTGGGGATCGCCCTGGGAGTTGCCGTGCTGTGGGCGTCCCAGGCGGGCGCCGCCGCCGCCGGGCACGGCGAGGGGGTGAGCGCCAAGGAGAGCCGGTCCAGCCGGGCCAAGAGGCGAGGGCACGGCGGCGGGCACGACGCGCTCAAAGGGTAGGTGCGGGGCTGAGCCGGCCCCTCCCCGGGCCGGGCACATCTGCCTGCGTGTGTGTGTGTGTGTGTGTGTCCATATCCAGTACCCCTTCACGGTGGGAGCTGGCGGCGGTGGCAGAGCTCCCTGACACCCCTTGGGGCTGCCCATGCCGAGGAGCACTTTGGGCTGGGGGGCGCCGGACACCGCCTGCAGCATCGCAGGGTAGTGCCAGGGCACGGAGCCCCGCCACCCTCCCGGAACCCCCCCGGGGGCAGGGTGCTGGATCCTCTGCGTGCTGCAGCCTTGCTTCACCTCTGGGTGGGCAATGCTCCATGAGGTTGAGCCGCAGCAGGGCAGAGGTTCCTGATTTATCTTCTAGGCAGGCCTTGGATAAAGGCACACTGTGGGCTTGTGCATTCCTCCTGCATCCCGTCCTTCTGCTTCACATAAAGCAGCATAGCGATGAGGCCCGGAGCCCACAGCATGCCCTTTCCATTAGCTGTCCTCTCTCATCTCCACCTTGAACCTTTGGTGATGGGCATCTTCTCTTGCTCTCAGCTGGACTGTCCAGCTCTCTAGTACTAATGTGAATGAGCCCAAACATACAGGAGTTTGATTTCTTATGAAACATTGTGGTACATGCTTAGCAGAGTGGTTTTTCTGAAGGGTACATCTGTGTCAGGCAAACTTTTCCCGATTCTGGTGGAACACCTTTCCAATGCAAAAATAGTTTTGAAGTCAGCCGAAAGGCACTGTGTGCATTTGCAGTTGAAAATCTAGTTCACTGTAAAGGTGAAAAGCTTGTACTATAGGAATAAAAGAGAGGTTTTCTTTTTCAGGTGTCCCAATGTGCCTTTTCAGCCCATACCCAGATTTTTTGGTGGTCAGGCAGAGGACAAATGCAGCAAGAATTATATTAAAATGGTTATGCTTCTGTAAGAGATGCAAGCTATTTTCTTTCTTTTCATCATTTCCTCGAAAAGGAGCTGTTACAACTTTATTGTTAGAGGCCTTGATGAATATGCTTTAACTTCCTCATACTTCTATAGTACTTTTTACCTATATTTGGATTTACAATCTTGGCTTTTTTAATGTTTGCCTGATTGGAAAAGGTTTACGTTTGTAGGTCCATATGCTGCAAAAATGGATGCAAGCTGTCAGCATTGTATTTCATGGATCTGATTTTGTAGGATTTCCTTATACCTTGTCACAGAAGAAATAGTTGGATAAAGGAGATCCAAAGTAGATGTGACAAAAACTAGGACGTGAGAAGGGTGTATAGTAAAGTTTGAGGGACTCATTGCAAGCAATAAAAGATGATAAGGAAAAAGATTTACCAGAAAGCACCTTTAGGGTGTTTTAATAAACTTCCTTGTTATAGAACTTTGAGTTAATATCAAACTAATAAACACCATTTTCCACCCAGTGTGTGCCAGCTCGCACACTGTGCTGACTTGGTGGAAGTCAGAGGCACATTAGCTGAGGATAAGATTTCTTTGGTGAATGTAACTGTTACTCTAAACTATGCTGTTTAGACAGTAGTAATAGTGCATCAAGGGATGATATTTCAAGTGTTAATTATTTTTGGAATTTAAAATGGGTTAGGGTAAGTAATCTTATGAGTTAATTCTTGTGTTTAACAGAAGCTTTCCATATTTTGTGTCCATATTACTTTGCAATAATTCTTCCTTTTGTTGTGTATTATCTATGAGTTATATATCTACTTAGGTATCTGCAAATCTGGAGATAATGGCAACATCAATATTAGATATTCTATATCTTGGTCAATTATTTGGAATGTTACAAACCTGGAGTGCCCCTCAGAAGCAGATTCTTGACAAGGATGTAATAATTTGCCAGATGATCTGAGATACAGTAGAGGCAAAACAAATTATTAGTTTGGTTTCTTTCTAGACCTTTTTATGTAACCCCAACTTGAGGCTGAGTGTAGAGTTCCCAGATTGTTTGGAGGACAGTCATTTTGATCATTGTTGGGTGAATTCTGCTGGATATTTCCAGTTTAGAAGTTGTGAGCACTTTCTTAGGTGTGGTACTGTACCGTACAATGTGAATAAAAAGAATTGTCATTTTAACAGACAAGGTTGGAATGAATTCTTTGGAAGGACAGATGGAAAACATATTTTGAATGTACAGGAACTGTATATACATTATTCATTGTAATTGGAGGACTGAAACACTAAAAATATGATTTTGCAAGAAGACATACTATTTTTTTAACTTGTTCATCATCACAAATACATTTGGGAATCTGATAGTTGTAATACAAGTCATAACAGATGCTGGGAAACTTTATTTTCATGTTATTGTAGTTGACTAAGACTTTTTTCCTCTTGCAATAAACTCTTGCACTGATTGTAAGGAGCACGGGGATACATTTTTAGAGAAAATCCTTTACATTTAAGCTTTTTGTGTGTTTGATTATAATGACTATTGGAAGTCTTTTAGCATTTGAAAGTATTGAGGTTAGTCTGTGTGTAAATACTGGTCTTGTACGTTAAAATGAAGAAGCCAAAGATCTGTTTCAATTCTTGTGACTTTTCCAACCTCACATTTTTTACTGCAAGCTGTTGATTGCAGGAGATGTTTGCTTTCCTCTGTGTGACCTTTGCCTCATTGTTTATGCCAGTGAGCTGTCCGAATGTATAACGTGATTCTAGAAGTATACTTTAATTTTAATTATTGTAAATTATTTGGAAATACCTCTTATGTGCTCATTTTAAGATTTTAAGCTTGCTGTTCATGCAGTTTAAATTGATCCAGCTATGAAGGCATTAGAGGTGAAATCCTGTAATGCCATCTGTGTTTGGCCTAAGGCAATGTATATTTATGTGCTGGTGCCTGATGCCTCTAAGTGATTAGAAAGCAATCAGAATAAAAGCAGTAATTAGGAAAAAATATAACTAGATTCTCCATTCATGGAAATGTTGCTGGAATCCATTGTGATTCAGCAAGTTAAAATAATAAGCTGCTACTGAGACACTTATCCTCTGGATCTCCAGAACTTTATCACAGATGTTACTGTACTGACTTATAAGGCATCAAGCCATTAAACACATGCTACCCCTTAAACACCTAACAATGTGGTGTCAAACTTCTGTAAGAAATAAACCCTACAAAACTGGCCACCAATGGGAAGTTCTTTCTAAACAATGTATACTCGAAGGCAACAATTTCTGTGTGTTTCAATCATTTGAATATAAAGTAAAAAACGATGTACTGGTGGTTTGATTGGTAGTTCTCTCAGTTCAAGAAGTATTGTGCTTAAAGATCTTAGAATTAATTAGGATTTCCCATTTTCTGATGATGCCAGACAATGACTTCAAACACTAATGAGTATCAGTCAGTTCTTAATATTTTAAGCAATGTTTGTCATGTTTATCAGTCTCTTCTCAGTATAATGGCCAAAGAAAGCAATAATTTGTCTAACAAATAGCAGAAGTTTTGAAAGAACTAAAATTTCTTCAAGATAGCTCAATCGTGACATGTTTCTAATTAAGAGACTAATTAAATGTATTCGTGCAAGAATGATTTAATTTCTTTGGTTTTAGTAAGTTGAAATGATAGTGAATATTGCAGAACAGAGTAGTTGGCTCCACAGTGATTCATATGAGTCTTGGACTAAAGCTATTCCACAGGGGATTGAGTTTTTTTGGACCAATTTCTTTTGGTTATCTCAAGTGAAAACCACAGGTTTACTGATATGCTTACTTGAGTAAAGCTGGTCGGATTTGACCCTTTTTATGCATTGGTGCTCCCTGAAATAGAATAAATCTTACAAATCTATAACATAATTCTAGTGTTCAGCTATATAATTAAGGCTTCTGGTTTTTGTTTTAAACCAATAATTACCACTAAAAGCCTGCTGAAGGAAAGCAGACTTTCTGTACTGGTAAATATTTGTTTATACTGAAAAAACCTCAAATATTTTTCTTGCCACTTGTGGCCCGCACACCTCCGGGCAGCTGCTGGTGCCACACCTTGTCCGTGGCACTCTGCAAGCAGGAGGCAGCCTGAATACTTGGAAATGTAAAACTTAATTAAAAAGAGATGGGGGTTGCTGTAATACCTGATGTGCTGGAGCACTCTCTTGGCTCCCAGGTGGCACAGCTGGCCTCCCTCCAGTCCTCTGTGCCTCACAGGGTAAAGCTTATATGGAGGGTGAAAAACTTCTGCACCAGCACATCCCAGTATAAAACCTGAAGTCCTTGGCAGTTACACGTAGTGTTAAGATTCTGCACCTCTCTGCACCTCTGCCAATGCTTGTGGTGCTGGTTTTTTGTTATTGCATGATCCTTGGAATTCTAGTTCTAGAGTGAAATGAATTCATAGATCTTGGCACTGTGTCCCATGTACATGTTTCCTTTCTTTCACTATGGTATGATTTGATACAGGTGTAACTTTCTCTGGGGAGTAGGAGGGATGGATGAGGAGTAGGGAAAACAAACAGAACCAAGCAAGAAGCCAGCACAGAACATATTCTGTGACTGGCAAAAGCTGTCATTAATGCTTGATGAAGGGCTAATATTTAAAGAGGGAGTAACACATTATTTTCAGTTCTGATCCCATAGATGTCTTCCCTTGGCTGCCACAATAGGTTTGGATTACATACTAATGCATACATACTGTCATTCTTGTTCTAGTTCCATGTTGTTCTTTGGCCTGAAGAAAAACTGTAGAAGGTAAATAATCTTCAGGGCTTCGTGGTCCTTGTACTCTCCATTTAGGTTTTTAAATCTTGTCATTTGGACACCATCTTTTTAAAAGGCACAACCTTCATCCCAATTCTGGTTTATCATTTATGGGGATAGACTTCTGGGCCTGTGGAGTTTGTAGTGCAGAATTAGGACTTAATTGATTTGGGGCATGACAGGGAAAATCCATCTAATGGTTAAAACTCTTGATGAGTACTGTTGTAGTCTGTCTTTCACTGGTGAGCCTCTGAGGCACATGTGATTGTAGCCAGTGTTCCCCAATGTCATCTTTTCTCATTTTGTATTGT